AACAATGAAACATTATTCCTGCCATTGACACCAACAATAGGGCACTATGCCTCCCACTGATATTAAATATTGGTCACTGTTCCTTCTACTGATACCAGAGATGGGGCACTATTCCTCCCACTGATGCCATAGATGGGGCACTATTCCCCCCACTGATACCATAGATGGGGCACTATTCCCTCCATTGACCCCAACTAGATGGGGCATTATTCCTGCCATTGACCCAACAATGAGACTATTACTGCATTGATACCAAAGATGGGGCACTATTCCTCCCACTGATACCAAAGATGGGGCACTATTCCTCCCACTGATACCAAAGATGGGGCATTGTTTACTTCTATTGCTACTCCCACTGGCCACATTCCAGCCCCCAAAGTCTGAAGGACAGTAAACTTGGCCATTTGTTTGGAAAGTTTGGAGACCCCTGTTCTAAAGCCTTAAAACTTTTTACCTTAATGCATTCTCTGTATTAAGGTAAAAAGCCTTTTGTGCTGCAGAATTCCCCCAGCCTCGCTCTATTACTTACATGAGACCGATCGCAACCCAACAGTATGTATGATGGCAGCAGCTCTCTCCGCTATCTCCCGCATCACAGGGCATATTGATAGCAGCGGGAGCCATTGGCTCCTGCTGCTATCAATTAAATCCTGTGAATAGGGAAAAGTGGGTGGGGTCAAGCCACTCTGTGTGTGTCAAATAGACACAGAGAGGGAGGCTTGAGAACGAGCCCTCACAGGTACCCCCATAGAAAGCAGCTTTTATGGGGCCACTCACATCAGAGGAGGAGCCAGGAGCGGTGGCAGGGGACCCCAGAAGAAGAGGATCTGGGCAGCTCTGTGCAAACCCACTGCACAGAGCAGGTAACTATAACATGTTTATTATTTTAATAATAAAAAGACCTGAAGCTTTAATAACTTGAACTGCGATGCCCAGTCTGAACCATATGCATACTGGATACTGATCTATTAAACTCCAATCATGTTTTTAACTTTAGAGTAAGGAATTGTTAAAAAAATCTTTGTTCATTTTTAATTTCTTGTCATCTGTATACTATAATTGAGGCTGCTTTCACACTGTTCTGTTGCAAAAAAAACGGGGTAAAAAGGCATATGCGTTTTTTGCTGCATTTTTACTGTCTTTCCAGTGCATATTCCATCTGGGAAAAGGGACATGTAACTCCAAAAACGCACCACAAATTGAACCTCAGGTGCATTTTCTATGCATTTTCCATTCATTTCAGTGGGAAGGTGCATTTGTGGTGCATTTCTTACCACACCAAACTTGCACCAAAAACGCAGCAAGCAGGACTTTTAAAAAAATGGAACTGACCCACAACTGGCTGGAGTGAAGAGCTCCATGGGATTTAATGGCATTTTTCTTCCGCTTTTGGTAAGGCGAAACTGGAAGAAAAACTAATCAGTGTGAAAGCAGCCTGAGATTTAATTTCACTCTCTGTTCTGTAGACACAACAGGAAGTGAGATGAAATCTCTGCAAAGTGAGAGAAATCCCAACTTAGATAAGTGTTACTCTTTGGAGATCTCTCCTCTGTTTCTGTTCTGCTGACAACTCAAACTGTAGGATTGTCCCTTTCTTTTAGTCCCATTAATAGTGCTCACCACTGCTGGATTACCAGATAGGCAGAGTAGACCCTGGCCTATGTAACCTACGCCAATTATGGGCCCTGCAACAACAGATCAAAATAATATTGATTTGATCTAAAAAAAAGAAAAATTAAAATGAAGCTTCGTTTAATTATTTACAAAAAATATATAAAAAATTGATCAACTAAAAAAACAAAACAAAATTAAAGTCTCTATAGAGAAAATGCTGTATTAATATGTAATACCCAATAAAAACGTAAAGTACATAAACCATAGACATCAGGTTCACATTGTAGTCTGTCTCTTAAAAGCTCATCTTCTTTCAACTGTCAGTTTGTAAAAAACGATGGTGCAACCTATGTATGTGCAATGTACAGTGGTGATGATCATCTCCATCTAGTAGCCGACGTGCACACTACTTTGTTCAATGTTGTCCCACTAGAGCACACACACAAGAAACCTCCAGAAACCTGCAAGGGGGACCTCAAGGTTTCCTCTTCCTAGGGGCCTCCACAGACTTTAATCGGGCACTGGTGGTCACCATGACAGACATCAATGGTGTCTCCCCTAAGCTAGGACACACACAGCTGTTAACACCTGATAGGGGTTTTAACCCCTCACCACTTTATCAAACATTTGGCTTTAGATATAATTTAATATCTACAAACTTGCCATGTCCTTTAAATTATGCAGTATAGCTTTACACAGTATGAATTTATTAAGAACGTTTTGTGAACAGGATCCTCTACCTTGCCCTTCTTAATTGGGCTTCATGCTCTAGCCCTGAATCTTAAATTTGGCACACAAAAGAATACTAATAATTAATCTGTTTTTGTACTATTAGCTGGTTTAAAGGTTTTAAATATCTCAATTTAATTATTGATTTTTGTACATTTTTTGTATCAGCAAACTAATATTTTTTGTGGACAGTTAACAGAATTGTGTAAGCTGTGTTGTACATAATGTATATTACCAGGGGCGGACTGACCATTTGGAAACTCGGGCACTAGGTCAGTAGGGGGCCCCATGAGATGCCCCTGGTACATTTTTCATAGGCTTTTTTGAGTTTGGGCAAGGACACAGGGGCCCCATTATCCCCTATTGCCCGGGGGCCCCATGAGTTGTCAGTCCACCCCTGTATATTACCCTCATGTTAATGTTTAGTGTAGCCCACCCATGTCTAACGTTTGGACTTTCCTGGGCCACATTGGAAGAAGAGGAATTGTCCTGGGCCACACATAAAATACAGTAACAATAAGGATAGCTGATGAGCAGGAAAAGTCGGGCAGATCACAGATTAACGATCACTGATATAGATAATTTAGCTACCCGAATGATAAAAATTCATTTTTTAAAAAAATATTTTTTGTTATCAAAGTAAAAGAGGGCAACACAAAAACTAGAGCAATATTTGTCACTGTTTTTGATAAACTAATGCATCAATATCTGGTTCCATGGATGTAGCAGCAATTCTCATTGAATTCTGAAGGTGCTCATCAGATAATTTGGTTCTAATTTTGCCCTTCGTGTGCTTCATCCTGAAAATAGTTGCTCACAAATATAAGTGCTGCCAAAAACTGATGACATGAATAGGGCGTGATTGTGAAGAGTGTGAGATTTTTCTTTGGGAAACTTTTCTTCGGCTGAATTTGTTCACTAAGTGTAATTGCATTTTTACAAATATTTCCAAAAAAAAATAATATCAACATTTTTAAGTAAGTTTCCGATTTTGTGTTGGGCCGCATTCACAACTGTTATGGGCTGCATGCAGCCCATTGGCCATAGGTTGGACATTTCTGGCCTAGCGAATCTGAGATCTTTTTACTTACCCAGGACACATTCAGAATTCATAATAGTTGTCTTCATCATTAGATCATCTTGGAAGTTGTGTTACTTATTGCCACAATATAAATAATTTCATTATATACGGTACAATATACAGGAAGCTTCAGGTGCTAAAATAATTATCACTTAGATGCCATTAATTACCTGTTGTTGCAACTACCCTGTACTTAGAATTCTACCGAGATGATGCTTATGACCCTTACAAGTCAACAGGGATTTATCTTTTTATGTCAAGCAATATTTAAGCAGACTTACATAACTTGTAAAAAAAAGCATGGATGTCAGCACATTTTACATATTTTGTCTAAATATACATTGATTCTTGCAAGAATGCTATTTGGAATTCTTTTGCAATTTACTTATATATCTTTTACCAGTTTGGACATAGTTGTGGTGTTAGTAAACTGCTACAGATCCATGTGATGTGCGCAAATTAGGCCAGGCAGAGGAGAAGCTCCAAGTAAACCTGTAACAAATGCAGACAGGTCATACTATTTAATTTTTTCTGTTGCATGTCCACGTTTTTGTTTTTGTGTTTAGATACATTTTAATGTGCCTCAACTTTCTCTTTTGAAAAGATACAGTGTAGGTCTACACTATGAATAAAGTAAAAGTCTCCTAGATTGTAAGCTCTAACGAGCCGGGCCCTCTGTTTCCTCTTGTACCAAATTGTATTGTAACTGTAATGTCTACCTTCATTTTGTAAAGCACTAAGCAAACTGTTGGCACTATATAAATCCTGTATAATAATAATAAGTGTACCTGAATCCAATATTTTCTGTCTCACCTATATGTATTGTTTCTGTTGTTGTGTTGAAGGGTATCTGTTAGCTATTTTTCTGTAGTAGGCTGACATCTCATGGCAGTTTTGGGCTTCCACAACTTGTTTATTATGTGATTTGGTATTTCCCCCGTCTTCCCCTACCTGTGTCTTCCATGCTTCCTTAGTCAGTGTAAGTTCTTCGCAGAAACATGGCTTAGGAAAGTCATAAGAGTTAATTTACTAAAAATGGAGAGTGCAATATCTGGTGCAGCTGTGTGTGGTAGCCAATCTGCTTCTAACTTCAGCTTTTTCAATGAAGCTTTGCCAAAAAAAACCTGGAAGCTGTTTTATTCTATGCAGATCTGCACCAAATTTTGAACTCTCCAGTTTTAGTAAATCAACCCCAGTGTCTTCTTACACTTCTGAAGCCTGGAAAAACATCCTCTGTACTGCAGTGAGCCAAGGTAAAATTGCATTGATTACAACATCTTACTGAAGAGGTATGCAGCCTGTGCATGTCAGCAGGTAGCCATACTGTCTAGACAGACTGGATCTATGGTTTTCTATGGGTGGCAAAGCAGCTCCATTTGAAACAGAACAGCTTAATATATTGCAGTTTAACAGTTCTTAGGTGTAGTTGCTTCATATATTGTTTTTTTGCCTTACTTTACTATAGAAGTCTAATACATATTTATGGCAATCAACAACTATAAACTTATGCTTCTCTTGTCCAGCACATAAATCCTATCCTCTGCTTATTTTTTAAAGTTTTTACCTAAACTTGGACTTTAAGACACAGTGGGGTTTATTTACTTAAACTGGAGAATGCAAAATATGGTGCAGCTCTGCATAAAAACCAATCAGCTTCCAGGGTTTTTTGTTAAGGCTTAATTGAACAAGCTGAATGTAGAAGCTGATTGGCTACCATGTGCAGCTGCACCAGATTTTGCACTCTCCAGTTTTAGTACATAAACCCCTTTACAGCATAGTAATTAAAAAACAAATTATACACTTCAGCCCTGGTTCACGCTGATGTGGTGCGGAATTCGCAGCGTTTTCTGTGCGAATTCCATACCGCATCAGAATCGCACCTCATTCGTGCGAACCACTGCAAGTGTGTATGTTAAGTTAACAACACCCTGAAAGCGGTCCTCAAAACGCGGTGCGATGTGCAGAATCGGATCGCATAGGTGTGAATACCCATGCAATCCGATTCTAGTGCGGACCCAAAAAAGGGTCCGGCACGTTTTTGGTGCTATGCAATTAGAGCTATACAAAATGTATGGCTCCAATCGTACCGTACACAAATCGCATGTGATTTGCACAGGAATGCAGTGCGGTTCCTGTGCGAATCACATGCGATATATCGCACTGCATATATGTGAAGCCAGGCTAAATCTTCTAGACTGCCTCCCTAATTATACACAGCTTTTAGGAACACTTTTAGGACATACACTTGGAAATATCCAGACAACACATCATTATATCACCTGTTTATGTACTGTTTATTCTTAAATTACATCTGAACTCCATGCACATAAAAACAATACAAGTCCAGTTGCATATTCATTGATACATTATTAAAAAGCAATTCAGGACATCAAATTGAAGTATGAAATTACCATTAAAGACTGCAGTATGCTAACGGCTGGATTCACTTTACTGCAATGCGACCTTGATGTCATATGATTTTGCGTGACTCAAGTCGCATCAGATGTCGCATTAGTGTGAAACAGCTCAAAATCAGAACATTTATTCAGTTTACCTTAGTCTAGGTTCACACCTATGCTTTTTCTGCTGCACTTTGTGAAAACACACAGCAGTCCATTTAACATTATTTATTATGGGACAGGTTCACATCTCCACGTTTTCACCCAGTGTGTTTTTCGGAAAGGACCAGGTATTTTTTTAAACTCAAAACATTGTGTTTTTGGTTCTATAGACTTCAATGGAGACACTGCAGAAAAGCATGTAGTGAATTGTTATGCATTTTGGATGCGTTTTGCATTTTAATCTGCCCAACAACAAGTAAAAAAATCCCCAAAAGCATAAAAAAACGCAGCAAAAACGCATGTGCCAAAACGCACTGCAAAAGTACTGCAGAAACGGATCAAAGGCAAACTGCATAGGTGTGAACCTAGCCTTACTCTGAGTTCTCTGTAATGCACTTCAAGAAAGGCATCAATACATAAATCTTTCTTGATATCAACATCTTGTAATGTCCTGCACAACAGCACATGGGGGTGGACTGGACTGTGACCCTATTCTCAATGCTTTGCACAGTATAGATTTGTGCATACTTATAGATGGGAAAAGCAGTTGGGTGACATTATCAGGAAGCTGCTGCTCCCAGACCAGACTAAACTTCTTAACTGCAGAGTAGTCTTCAGGGAGCTCCAAGACCTGGCAGTTTTGTCTGGCAGGGTTGTCTGGATTACAGCAATGGATTCTTCATAATGACTCGTAAAGCACATACTATATATACATATGTATTTTAGCAGTAAATTTAGCCAGGACATTGGTTTTTGAAGCTGCTGGTGCCAGGATGTTCTCACTACAAGGTTTTTGGCACAGAAAACAAGTGAAAAAGTAAAGTGACACATCACACCCACCTGATTTCTAACTTTAACCACACCATTAATATCTAACCCTCACCTTAACTTTGAGCTAATTTGGTGTCATTTGGTGCATCCAGTCCTAGTTTTAGGAGTTTTATCTTGGAATGAATAGCAGGAAGATTGGAATATACTTTTTAGATATAATTATTGAAACGCTTCTTTAAGTTATTGGTGTGCTATTCTTTTTAAAGAAACATAACTGTCTTGTAATCTGTACTGTGCATTCATAAAGTATTAAGAACCCCTTCACTTCTTTGATTTTGTTACATTGTAGCCTGATACTACAGTTGTTTAAATTATTTTTTTCTCTCATTAATCTACACTCAGTACCCCATAATGACAAAGTGAAAACATCATTTTAAAAATGTCTGTGTATTTATGAAAAAGGAAAAACTGAAATATCACATTGGCATACGTATTCAGACCCTTTGCAATAACACTTGAAATTTAGCTCACGTGCCTCCCATTTCTCTGCTGAGATGTTTCTACACCTTGATTGGAATCCACCTGGGATAAATTAAATTGATTGGACATGATTTGGAAAGGCACACACCTCTCCATTAAATGCATCACAGCTGACAATGCATACTGTATCAGAGCAAAAGCCATGAGGTCAAAGGAACTGCCTGCAGAGCCCAGTGACGATTACACTGTTCAACAGGTGAAAAGTTTTGGGCATAAAATTAGCTAATCTTACATAATTTTTTGGGGTGCTGAAAACGAAAATGACCCTAAAAAATGTTGATTGGCTCTAGTTTCCATGATATATTCACCCATCTAATGACGTAAGCCATTCAAAATTATGATGCAACTTCAGCTGCATATTGCGCAATTGATACTGGTGACCAATAGAAAATTGCATGTTTACTGAGATGATGCAATATTAGCCTTTAATTGCATCACTTCACTGCATAAAAAGCTGCAGTATCTGTAGCTGATTGTAGTTCGACAGCGTCTTTACATTTTGTGTTTTGCTTATATAGGCTACTCAGTAATGCCTCGAACTTGTGTGAATAAAGCAGATAATTTCTGCTATATCTGCGGTGAAATAACTTTTATCTCACAAAAAAGGAGGATAACAGGAATGATTAAGAAAGCCTACAACTTGTATTTTGGCTGCAAGATAGGAGACCAGGACAAGAGCTGGGCACCACATATATGCTGCAATTCTTGTGGGACGGCACTGGAGCAATGGTTGAATGGAAAAAAAAAAAGGCATCTATGCCTTTCGCTGTGCCAATGATTTGGAGAGAGCCAACAGATCATGTTAGTAATTGTTACTTTTGTATGGTGCCTCCAATTGTAAAAGGGCTAAATAAGAAGAAAAAGTTATCTGTGCACTATCCAAATTTCCATCGGCAATACGTCCAGTTCCTCATGGAGAGGGGCTACCAATTCCTAAAGCACCAGAATCCTTCGTGGTTGAGTCAAGTGAGGAAGAACCTGAAGCGTGTAGTCACGTGCAGTTGTAAGAGATAGCCCTTTCCTCGAATACAAGAGAAAAGCCAAGAGAAGCAAAACCGACACAAACTGAAGACAAAACTAGTGAGAATCCTAAGTATTAAAATGATTCAACTTAGCTTATGGCTATAATTTTTCTTCGTAATCCTATGCAATATATTATGCCATTTAGGCTTTGTTATGTAGTCAATATCACTTGCTTTATATTTGTGGAAAGACATCTATCTATATAATTATTATGCATTATGTAGTCATTACGCCTATAGTAGAAAACTTTCCGTTTACAGAAAAACTAGAGCCAATTGACAAATTTCATTGTTATATTTGAACTCAGAATGTGAAATTCATTAAGAAATGGATCCTTTTGTTTCCAAAACTGGCAAAAAATAAAAATTTGTTGAACAATGTTATTGCAAGACACAGATCTGGGGAAGGCTACAAAAAAATTATTCTGCTCTGAAGAGCTTCCAAGAGCTGATTGCCCAGCAAAACTGAGCAATCAGGGAAGAATGGCCTTAGTAAGAGAGGTGACCAAGAACCCAATGGTCACTCTGACTGAGCTCCAGAGATCCTGTGTGGAGATGGGACAAAGTTCCAGAAGGACAACCATCATTGCAGCCCTCCACTGATCTGGGCTTTATGGCTTTTTGCTTTTTTTGTGGGGGAATCTATTGTTGTGGGTTGATCTCTAGCAGAGACAAGGGGTGAATCAGAAATGGGGAGTACCTGCACCTATTTTCGTAGAAAAAATAACCCTGACCAAATGTATATCTCCTTCCACACTGGTACATAGTACCAAGAGAACATTTCATATTTTTGTTTAAATTTTTTAAAAATGTCTATATGTAATGCTGTCTGAGCACTGATTCTCTCTGATATATGATTACAAATAACAAGCTGATACACTACCCTTCAGGCTGCATCCATACTATAGCAGCATGTGAACGCAAATAAAATTTCACCTTCATTGTTAATGGGACACCAAATGGGGCAAGCAGATTGCAGCAAAATGAGCAGTTCAAAAATGTGCAAATCTTTAAGAATATGTTACCCCAACATTTCATATTCCTCTTATGTGTCTGTTGTACCATGTAATTGTGCTAAAAAGTATCCTTTTCTCGTTGCACTATTTCCTTTGTGTGAAATACCTGGTGATCTTGCCATCCCCCCTGCTTTACTATTTAAAACTGACCACGTTAGACAAGAGAGCACATCTATCCTAGAGAGGTCAGTTCTCTAGCCTGTCTGTCCTTTAATGGTCAGACTTGTGGTGAAACTCCCCCCCCCCCCCCCCCAAGCAAAGCCATTCATTGAGAAGATTTGTGTACTGTTCTTTCTTCACCCTCACCTTTTTGAGCCCCCTAAGCAGCTGAGAACAGACAGTATGTGATCACGTATAAAAAAAAGTATATATATACACAGTGAATACAGTATATGCACTAAGGTTTTGTCTTTCAATTCTATTTTAAACAGAATGGGTTGTTTTACAAGGTAAGGGTTTGTTTATAGTTTAAATTCAAAAAGGTGAGCTTATTCACTGCAATTGTTGTGCATACAGCAGCCCATTGAAATTAATTTGCTGTACAATGTTTGCAGTGCTACATCGTGCAAAAAAAACCCACATCTGCTTGTCGTGTGAGGTCAGGTCTGAAGTCACGTGTTATAGTGTGGATAGTGCCTTCCAAAGAAACAAAGTCCAAACAAATACTTTGAAGGTCACTTTGACAATCTGGAGCTTCATGAATTTGGGAGATTAATGAAAAGAATATTTGGTGTATCCATTTTCTTATTCCTCCAACAAACTGAAAGTTGGAATAAACTCTGTAAGGACTTCTTTAACTTTGGGCTT